AAATTATCATTAAAATATAACTATTAACTATCTATATGCTTAAAGCTATTAGAAATGCATTGCTTAATTTGGAATGTGAACGACATCAAAACATAACACTTTTGTCTTCATTCTATCTTTTTTTCAATGAGTGTGCATGATTGTGTGTGCTTGTGTCCGAGGGAATGGGGCTTTAACAGTTGTTGAGTTCTAACAATAGGTGGTCCGATTAATGGTTTAGTGTAAATATACTTTCTGTGTTCTTTAAATGCATTTCCACTTTGGTACTGCATAAACAAAATATGACATTAACATTACAAATTTAAAGATTTTAACCTACAGAATAATTCTCACTAATGGGTTTTGTGGTTAATGTTGAAGAACTCAGAGAAACAAACTCCGTATGATGGTTAACAGTTGGCACCCACCTTACCCTATTCACAACCTGTGACACCTCTTCATACCTGTCACGTTGACCTTTATGACCCAACACTGCCGCTGTTACAGATCATTGGCTCCCTCCCTCTGCAAGCAGTCTGCGTTCTGCTGTTTATTTTGTTGACAGTTACATAGACAGATTCTTTAATACAAATGCATAAAATCGGTGATTTACAATGTGATCAGGTTGTCTGACAAAACATCCACTTGCACAGTTTGAGATCGATTGGGTCATTGGATGAAGAGATATTTACAAAAAAAACGGGTCAACATGCATTTCATGCCAAACGATAGGTCCTGTGATGAAGTGACCCGTCCTCCCGTTTCTTCATACCCATGCTCATGCTACATCACTTTACAGCAGGACAACGCTCGTCGTCACGTTGCATGTGTGGTCGTGGACGCCTGGATAGCAGTTCATTGCCACACTCCCTTGGCCTTCTGTGTCGCCAGATGTCGCCCACCAAGCTTGTGGGATGAAACGAACCGTCATATCTTCATCGACTTCAGATCCAACCGCTGACGTTGGTCCAGCTGTGACTGCCTTGATCCAGATCTGAAATGGGATCACGGAAACCTTGCTCAACTATCCCGTTTAGTTGACGAGGCGCTTTTGCCAAGCTTGTGTCATTGCTTGTTGTGGCGACACCCGATATTTGTGAATTGACAAATATTTGAGCCATGTCTGCCAAGAGAACTAGCCTTGGAGGAACAGCTGGTTGTGGCTTCCTGAACAAGTGTTCGCCACTGATATGGCAATGTCCCCCACCGCTAAAGAATGGAATATTTATGACATATGTACTACTTTTTATTTTTGGTCACATACAAGATGCCTGAAATGACTGGTGTCTGCATAATCACCCAGTGTAGGTTGTCGACATAATTGAAGACATTGGGTGCAATGTTTTATGAGATATCGCGTTTACGTAAGTTTTAAAAGTGTCAACTGGTGTCTGGGTAATCCCCCAATGTAGGCTGTCACCAAATCTGAAGGCATTGTCTGCAACAGTCCATGGAATTTCGTGTTAACAAGAGTTTGAAAAGTGGTCAAAGTGTCGTGGTGACCTTGAAAATAAGGTCAAGGTCATCCAAATCAACTTGTGTTTGCGTAATCTCCCAATGTAGGCTGTAACCAAATTTGAAGACATTGGCTACAACAGTGCATGATATATCACGTTAACAACAGTTTGAAAAGTATTCAAAGTGTCGTGGTGACCTTGAAGATAAGGTCAAGGTCACCAAAATAAACTGGTGTCTGGGTAGTCCCCCAATGTAGGCTGTCACCAAATTTGAAGACACTGGGTACAACAGTCCATGAGATATCGCGTTAACAAGAGTTTGAAAAGTGGTCAAAGTGTCGTGGTGTTGACAAATATGTTGGAAACATTTGAGGTAATGTACATGTAAGTATCATAGTTTATATCATGCAAAACACTCATTACACAAAATACGAAATTTCGCAGTCAGTGTGATCCGTTAGCCCTGACAATGTCCAGAGACACTGCCTAACAGAGGGTGGTGTAACAAATCAGTTACCATATATACTCATGCCAATAATGGTAGTCACCCCCTTCATTTTTTTTAATTGGTGAGGGGTGTGGGGTGGAGGTGTGTGTGGGGTTGGGGTGGGGAGGGTGACAACCATTATTGGCATGAGTATACTACTGTGGGTAAGCCGATCTCATAGATAAACATGTGCTTATATACACGGTAATCGTAATCCCTATATATAATACAATGCCTGGAAAAAAGAAATTAAAACTGAAAAGTATAATTATTTGGACAAGAGATGTTTAATTGCAAATCTGACGTCATCACTGACAAAGTCGTTTCTCTTATACAAGATCCCTTCATTTGAATCCTGAAAGTTTATTGTCATTATTTGATAGTTATATTGGAAGTGACGGATAATTGCATTTTACATGGTTGTTATGGATATTTTTATGATAATATTGCAAAGTGTAATGTGCAGAATTGGGCATAAATCAGGTTAAATGTATCGGGTTTGGAGACATATGGTATGCTCAGGAACTTCACTCTAGTCTCTTACCAGTTATCAAACAACGAATCTTTGATCATGCCTGTCAGCATGTTAGAAGTCAATTGTCTTTATCATCTAAATGCACATTATATATTAATCTCACAGATAGCTACAGTTTACAGTTTTACCTCCCCAAATGTATACCTCCTCTTTACAACCGATGTATAACCACATTCAGACTATCATCACACAACTTATCAATAGAAACAGGTGTAGGTATTATAATATCAATATGAATGAAAGATTATGTAAATTTTGTATTATAGATATTGAGGATGAATTTTATTGACTATGTATTCAGCGGCGTCCGTCCGTCCGTCCATCCTTCCGTACGTACGTACGTCCCGATTCTTGTTAACGCGATATCTGATGAACTGTTGTACCCAATGTCCTATTTTTAAGGTCACCACGACACTTTGACCACTTTTCAAACTCTTGTTAACGCGATATCTCATGAAATGTTGTACCCAATGTCTTCAAATTTGGTGACAGCCTACATTGGGGGATTACGCAGACACCAGTCGATTTGGGTGACCTTGACCTTATTTTCAAGGTCACCACGATACTTTGACCACTTTCAAACTCTTGTTAACGCGATATCTCATGCACCGTTGTACCCAGTGTCTTCACATTTGGTGACAGCCTACATTGGGGGATTTCACAGACACCAGTTTATTTAGGTGACCTTGACCTTATTTTCAAGGTCACCACGACACTTTGACCACTTTTCAAACTCGTCTTAACACTGCATCTCATGGACTGTTGTACCCAATGTCTTCAAATTTGGTTACAGCCCACATTGGGAGATTATACAGACACCAGTCGATTTGGGTGACCTTGACCTTATCTTCAAGGTCACCACGACACTTTGACCACTTTTCAAACTCTTGTTAACGCGATATCTCATGAAATGTTGTACCCAATGTCTTCAAATTTGGTGACAGCCTACATTGGGGGATTACGCAGACACCAGTCGATTTGGGTGAGCTTGACCTTATCTTCAAGGTCACCACGATACTTTGACCGCTTTTTAAAAGTGATATCTCATAAAACATTGCACCAAATGTTTTCAAGTATGTTGACAGCCTGCATTGGGTGATTATGCAGACACCAGTCATTTCAGGCATCTTGTATGTGACCCAAAAATAGAAAGTAGTACATATAGATATTCCATTTTTTAGCGGTGGGGGACATTGCCATATCAGTGGCAAACACTTGTTTATCCTTATATGTTCTAAATACATGTAGTAGACCCTTCAACGGCCATTTGGTTAGACTAACGCTTAGTCCCTGAATGTACATAATGTTGATAGTAGCAAATAAACCCATTTAAATTGAAAAGGAGTCCTAGTGAGTTGGGAGATTCAGGCCTGAACCTAGGGGAAATCTAGACTTGCTTCATTTAGGGCTTTAGCACTGCAGAGAGGGGTAGGCAGTACAATGTATAGGGAAAATCATGTGGTTCAGGGACTGTGAACAGACTACCATCTGGCCATCCTCGATATAAGACAAGTCGATTTCATAATAATACTTGGAAATATCAAAATCTTACAAGGTTTGGGACTCACTCTCTACAGGGATCGACCGTCTAGCGGGGAAATGGTAGTGGATGACGAGCAACTTCCGGTTGAGCATGGACAGGGCTTACCCCCAGTGCATTTCATTTTATGGGTACCCGAGAGAAGTGTCCAAACCTATCCAAATGAAACAGACAGCACGTGTCTATTCGATGCTTTTGTAATTTATTTGGGTATCTAGAGATGTGTAGGGCTGGCTATCGATACAGATCATAAAGATCGATTATCGTTAATCTAATATCGATCGATTATCGATAAATATCAGACACGTAACTTTGAGCAAAAGTGCCAAAAATGTCTGAAAGAAATGACTATATTTTACATCGCTGGTGAGTGGCGACATGTTTATCCATGGATTCTTAACAAAATTTAAAAGCAGGCCATGAATAGCTAGAGTCCCAAATTTGTATAAAATCTGTCAAAAACGTTACTGTGTGATATTATCACAATTTTCATATCGATAATCATTAATATTTTTTCCTATCGACGATATTTCTGATTATTGATCCTTTTAGCTGGCCCTAGTTGTTTGACCTAAGATTGCAGTTTTTCGGCAATATTTGTGATTTTGGGATCTAATGCAAATTTCAAAGTACACTTTCGTTTTCCAATACTTAATCATGATGTTTAATCTAGGTCGTTCGCGAACAGAGTTTAAGGGAACTGCACACTTTAACAGTCATGTTACTTGAAAAAGAAATTCATCAGGAGCGAAACTTTCCTGTCAACGACAATGATTTATTTGTACATACAATTCTTGTCAAGGAACTAACCGTACACTTACAGTTAACGCAGTTTGTTTCGTAAATAGGAGTCATTCGCACTATGACAACTTCGTGATTACGCAAAGACCCGTCATCGACCCTATTTATTCATGCCGCTCTCTGATTGGTCACCTATTTCCGTAATGAAAGGGGATTTCCCGTTGAAAACAAACAGCACGTGACCCCGACCATCGTGTTTACGTCATCAGAGGAGTCGATTGCCTACGCATGCGGAGTTGGGATTACCAAGCCATCTAACGGTGAAGATTTGTTTAATCATTTGTGTAATCCTATGCCTTGATGGAGTAACAAGCACTTGCCGTTTTCAGTGGAGCAATCTAGGATAAGAGGCGCGTGCAAGTGAGGACATACTTGCCACGCCCACTGTTCAGGAAAGGGGAATATTTGCAGTATCGCTCATAAGACAAAATGAGGTCAAAATGACTGGTAACTCGCTACGCTTAGATGAATAACCGTACCCTCTCGGAAAGGGCAGTGACTCATGAACCAAACCCGGAAATACACTCGATGTTGAAAGATAGGATCACAGGGGAATAATCGTATTGATCGAAGTTTGGAAGAAAATTGGATAACCCCCTAGCAGTTATCGCGATAAGGATAATGTCGAAAGATCGTTCACCTCCAAAACCCGGATATTATCACACCGAACTTGTAAATACCCTTTGGGAAGTACCCAACAAATACAAAAAGCTCAACCCAATCGGCACGGGAGCTTACGGACAAGTTTGGTGAGTGTATCTTCAGCGTGTGTATTGTTTACAGATTAACAGACCTTGACAGTAAGATTCAAGGACGGTGCAAATTAATTTAAAACTTTTCAGACATCATTTTAAGCTGTGATGTGTGTAACCACTAGGACTGTCTTCAGTGATATTATATTTACGATTTTGTCTTTTTATGCTTTGATTAACAGTTTATGTAATCTTAGAAAAAACACGAAAGTTGTTTGAGGTTATATTAACCAAAGTGTTTCATTGGCATTGTCATGAAGTATTCTTCTAAACATCACTTATATTTCATATATATGTGTATATGTGTTGTACTTACATACTAGTAAAATCAAGAGCATTAGATTAACATAAAGAAGAGCATTTTAGTTCTCTGACTACTCAGTGACGGGTTATTTAAGGGTGACAGGGTGGCTGGGTGGGATTGGATTAGGGGTTTTAATAAAATATGACACATTGAAAGAGGGGTGTGATAAGTGAATGGTTATATATTATTATTACAGGGGGTGTTAATGTGTTTTCATGTTATAACAAAAGGGGGTAGGGGGGTAGACAGCCAAATCTTACACAGTCTTGAGACCCTCCCTCTAACCTGAACCCCATACTAAATGACCAGTTCCTGTTTGAGAGGAAGTTTAGAAGTTGTAAAGATGAAGGAAAACCAAGTTCTATGGATAGTCAACTTCTTTATTGCAATGAGTGCGACGTTTCGGTGTAGATACTTAACACCGTTATCAAGCAAGTGTTAGTACCTACGCCGAAACGTCACACTCATTGCAATAAAGAAGTTGACTATCCATAGAACTTGGTTTTCCTTGACAGTTCCTTACAAATTTTCTTCTTCCATGTCCAGTAGAGAATATGCATTTGTTTAGAATGACAAATGCCTTGTATACTACTCATGTAATGTCAGCAGATGCTGAGGATTTTGCAACTATTTATTTTTTTCCTTTGAGGCCATCAATCATTTATCATTTTCATGAGCAAGAATAGTTAAAATGCAAACCTGAAGACATATTTTGCCTAAAGCTCTTTCAGTGATCAGTGTACATTAAACATTAAATGTTGATGGTTGTGATTCTCACAAAGTATGAACATTTGGTAGAACTATTTACATGGTGTTATTTCATTGACTACAGTAAGGAGGGAACCCATATGATGATATCATTCCTCTGAAATCACTTGAAGACAATGAGATAATGTGAAGCAGTGCATTTGGTAGCTTGGTAGCAAGATGGGGGTAAAATAAAGTATTATGAATTTATTTTAAAAATGTGAGCTGGGCCTGTACAACGTCACCTCTCAGGTCCGTTTTGTCATCAGGATGTTGCCACTTGATGAGCAATTGTTTTGCTGCTGAGTGATTGAAAAAATGCTTTTGTCAGCCTTCAACAATATGTCAGCTGACAGTCAGCTAACCGAGTCAGAACAGAAGCTACTGGTTTTACTGCATGAGTGTGTGAGAATGGTTTTACGTCGCTTTTAGCAATAATCTTGCAATATCATGGCGGGAGATACCAGGAATGGGCTTCACACATTGTACCCAAATGGGAAATCGAACCCAGGTCTTCAGCGTGACGAGCAAACACTTTGACCACTAGGCTACCCCACCACCCTTTAGTGCATGAGCAACAATGGATGCTAAGGGTACCATGACAAATATCATGTGCTAGAAATCTTCACAAATGTACAAATTCCCAAATTGGAATAAAATATTTCCCAAGTCATACTGTTATGTTTAAAATTAATGTTACAGCTTATTAGATATGACTTGATTTCAACACAAATATGGAGGAATGAAATATTATGTAATATTCATGCTAGGATATGTATTAACTGGATTGAACTGATTTCGTGTTTGCTGTTGATATTGCTATGGTAACAGAGAATGATGCATACCAGTAGACATCCATGCATGATTTTCTCTGCACCTCAAAGGTATTTCAGATGTTTCCTTATTCAAACTTCATGCACAAAAGCTATTTTGAAACTCTCTTTTCTCTTGACAGGCAAAGTTTCGGAGTATAATAAATTAATATAGAGATGACATCATCAGTGACAAAGATTCAAAAGGGCTCCTTTGTGAAGAGATCTAGCAACTATTCATTGGAAACATGTCCAAACATGTATATATAAGGTTCAAAACCCAGCTGAAGGTTCTAGGTTTGTTGTCCCTGGTTTAGTCATGGCTTGTACATTTATTTACTGTTCTGTCCAGAACTTGTGTCATCTGGTAATGTAGTGAATCACAAGAATTTGAACACAATCCCAGGACCACGTTATTTTCCCTTCCACCCAGCCCTTCCTGCAATTCGAAAACCCCAAAAGAACCAAATCTAGACTGCATGTTATTCCGAGACTAAGTATTAGACTTTTTAGGGGTTATTATATATGGTGGTGTTTATGTCCTTTGTAACCTCATATCAACCTAGCGGTGAGGTAGCCTAGTGGTTAAAGCGTTCGCTCGTCACGCCAAAGACCCGGGTTCGATTCCCCACATGGGTACAATGTGTGAAGCCTATTTCTGGTGTCCCCCGCCGTGATATTGCTGGAATATTGCTAAAAGCGGCGTAAAACCAAACCTCACTCACTCACTCACTCACTCTCTAGAAATACATTTTGCTCTTGTTTGGAAGATATTGTCTTGGGAATGCTGTTAAAGCAGATAAGCAGACAACACACTAAGGGAAATTAACCCCAATTTTTTACCACCTAACATTGTTTGCAGATTTAAACTGCACTGATAATTCTTATCTGAGTTGACAGCTGGTGTAATATGGGTCTGGTTAATGCAAAGCCAGTGATATAACTGTCTCCATGTTTGCTGAGTTGTACATGCAGTATGCTTTATTTCATTCATAGGTATGTGATAAGAAATAGAAACTTCCTTAATAATAAACTATGGTCACTGTCAGTCATTGTCCTTTGTATTGGGAAATACAGGGAAATCAGTCAATAAGTAATAATGTCAATGGAATCAAATTCAAACCCATGGTCATCAGATCCTGCTTAAGCTAAGGGAGGCAGCTGTGAACGTAGGATCAAAGTGGACCTGTTCCACAACACAGTCCAAGGCAGAAGACATAGATAACATGTTATTCAATTTCAAGTTTGAACTAGAGATAGTAGAGATGTTAGCTGATAAAGAATCCAAAGGTGATATTCACAATGGTCATGCGTGATCTACATACCTATACATGATATTTACATCAATTGTTGGCGCACCTCTGACTTAAGAAATCCATGTCATTCGTGTGTGTGGGTGGGTATTTCATACCTTTTGTCTGATATTCCGAAATATCAGATTGTATTACAAGCTATTGTATTGCCCAAGCTATCACAACATTATGTTATCACTAGCCACGGTTGCAGTTGCGATACTCTGGTGAATCAGCGTTACAATATCAATGAACATTAACTAACAAGATGTACTGGTTCAAGTTACGAACAAGATGGATTTCATCTCCGGAAGTCTATGAGTATGAAATGCAGTCAACTGAACATGATAATAATTCACTTGCCAGAGATAATTGTTATGAAATATAGTTTGTTTTTGACCAACATCACCATGAAGAAAAACAAAATCGTAAACAAAATGCTTTGACCACGTTGCTGCCTAAGGGACCGTTCATAATTTATAGGGGGTGATGATGATTTGAACGGGGGTCACCCACTTTGTTCTGGAGAGGTATGGGGGGTTCATCAATTTTGTACATGTTTCTAGTGGGGTCAGCAATTTTGTACATAAAAATATTTTAAAATTATGCTTAAAAAATATTGGAAGGGGGAGGGGGTCATTGATTTTGTACATGACATGCACGGGGGTCACTTTCTTTGTACATAAATTATAGGGGGGTCATTCACATTGTACGTGCTTCTCCATAAAAATCATCATCACCCCCCTGGCCATAAATTATGAACGGTCCCTAACCAAACTTATTAGGAAAAACATGGTTTACAGATTCCTCTGACCTAAATAAATGTAAACTGGTAAAATATATAGCTGGAAAGCATTATTTATTTATTTCATGAACTTTGCTGTGTTAACAGTGAACCAATTTGTGTGTACTGTAAACTTGATTAGCATGACGAGGTTAACTTCTACTGCTCATATGATAACATTATCCATTAAGAAAAAAAACCTCTATAAAATATATTTATTTAATATGTTTTCCTTGGGACCTGATTTGATAAAACATTCCCTGCACAAAAAATGTTCTTCAACAAAGGTTTGAAAGAAACTGACTTCAACACATGCCAAAGACAGGGTAAAATGCCTTGAACAATGCTCACAGGAAGAATCTTTTAAATTAATATATATGGAACTTTGACATTGTAAGTTATACAGAGATGCCAACCCATACGATTTTATCGTATTCGTTACGAAACAACAACAAACAATACGCAACTACGATAGCAGTAAAATCATACGGATTTTTAAAAAAATACATTAAATTAAATTATCAAGTAGCATACGTACCAGGCACAATCAATTTCAACCACATTTTATTCAGTATCAGGCTATATGTAGATACTGACTACTGATAACAAGATTTTAGAATATCTATATATTTTTTAAATTAAATATGAACATTCTTTGGAAAAGTTAATACTAATTTTGGCCCCAAAAATACTAATTATTGCATCAGTTTTTGACAAAAATACTAACTGGGCTAAATTAGGGTTGGCATCTCTGGTTATAATTCTATCCTCCTTTGAACTCAGTTTGAACTCTTCCCCCTTCACTGATGTCAGAGTCCTCTTCCACAGGAGGCTGCACAGGAACGGGATGTTTGTGCATCCTCTTACTTCACTGAATCACCCTTTGTGTTGACAACCATTGACTTCAGAAAGGAAAAACATAGGATTCAGTTATTTAAAGTTGTTCCCGAAGTTCACAAACAACACAAGGATATCTGGACATGTTATTTTTTCCTTCTTATGCCATGACAGAAAATGTACGAAGTATAATGCAGAAAAAAATAACTTTCTTCGTGTACTTTTTATTCTGAAAGATATGAAACAGCTTTAAGTATTATAGGGGACATGGAGTGAGTTTAGTTTTACACCGCACTCAGCAATATTCCAGCTATATGGCGGCAGTCTGTAAATAATCGAGTCTGGACCAGACAATCCAGTGATCAACAGCATGAGCATCGATCTGTGCAATTGGGAACCGATGACATGTGTCAATCAAGTCAGAGAGCCTGACCACCCGATCCCGTAAGTCGCCTCTTACGACAAGCATAGTCGCCTTTTGTGGCATTTAGCATTTAGCATGGGTTGCTGAAGACCTGTTCTACCCCGGATCTTCACGGGTCATAGGGGACATGGAGGAGAAGTTGTCGGAGGTGTAGCAGTTTTCTTTGCAGTGTTGCATACCTTTTTGACACAATCCTATGATTGTGTTTGAATGTGTTTTTCACTCACATGGTTCATTGTTTGTCAGTACAAATCATATCAATCAAACTGTACAGTATGTGACTTAAGTTAGATACTGTTCATAGAAGCCTTAAGACCAACTCTGAGATACCACAGTTCAGTGAGAGTTGTAGCCCTTACTTGTGCTAGGATATAGTGTTTGTGATTTTGATTGGTCACGAGTCAGTATCTTACCCAGGCTCATAGGATTCATCAGTACTTTTGTCACTTAGAGCTGTCTCCCACATTAAAATGACCAGCGGTATTTACCTGTAAATATTACTGCTCAACATAGTCAAAGGATTACCCAGATCTTCATGGGTGTTACAATGGAGTACAGATTATACTTTCCTAAGCTAAATGATTTGGGTCTGTAAATACTCGAGTCTGGACCAGACAATTGATCGATGCAATTGGGATACTATGACACATGTCATCCATAGATCAATGCTCATCATGTTAATCACTGGATTGTCTGGCCCAGACTTCATTTTTTACAGGCCTCCACCATATAGCTCACATCTTGCAGAGTGCATTATTAAAACAAACAAAATGTGTCAAGCAAGACAGCAAACCTGACCAGCTGATTCCGTTAGTCGCCTCTTATGACAAGCATTAGACCATTTCTAAAGACCATCTCTTCATTTGTGATGCAAAGTTGTATACAAGTGAAGATCCAGATTAGAACTGATCTTCAGCAACCTATGCTTGTCGGAAGAGGCGACTAACGGGATCAGGCAGTGAAAGTAGTTGACTTGGTTGACACATATTCTGGTATCCCAACTGCTTATGATGTTAATTGCTGGATTGTCTGGTTAAGACTCAACTATTTACAGACTACCGCCATATACCTGGAATATGTCTGAGCGCGTGAGTGACCGAGGACACCAGAAATGGGCACCAGAAATGGGCGTCACTCATTGTACACATTGTGTGGAGAATGGAACCCAGGGGCTTTGGCGTGATGAGCGAACACTTTAACCACTAACATATGTTATATTTGGGATTACACTTTCTTAGTAAAGAACAGATTCCAGTCCTTTTTGGGTTGAGTCCCATCCGGGATTCGAACCAACACCCTCAGAGTCAGGCATCTATTCGCCAGCACACTTTAACCACTAGGCTACCTAGACTAACAACTAGTCTCTGAATGAACATATTTTACAGAAAATACAAGTTCGTAGTAAAAAAATAAATATAATGAAAAGGAGCCTGAAGATGTGGAAATCTAGACTTGCCACATTTTCTAGATTTGAGTGGGCTTTCTTGGATATGTTTGCTTCAGATGGTCACAGGTGGTGGAATTGGGTTTAACGTCGTGCTTGAGAATATTTCGCTCATATGATGACGTTCATGCATATGTATGTACGGCTGCTTTAGCCCAGATTTAAGCTTTATAGGGCTTGCTCACTGAGATACCATGCCGCAGTGAAGCATGAATACCCCACTCAGACACATTATACTGACTCCAAGCCGACCAGTCCTTGTTGTACCCATTAATGTCGAGCGCCAGGCAGGGACCAACAAGTACCATACCACGTCTTTTGGGTATGACGCGGTCAGGGATCGAACTCGTGACCTTCCGCTCTCCGGGCGGACGCTCTAGCTACTACACCACGGAGGCGGTCTGTTTGCTTCAGGGTCTGTATGACAGACTATAGGCTACCCCACAGACCCAGAATGCTGCAATATTAACATCACCATGTATTTGCAGAGTATTCCAGGAATGTGGCGAAGCCTTTCTCCCACCACCTCCTGCTGGAGGTAAACACAAATAAATCAGCCTGGATGGTACAGTGCTGTTGCCCTGATTGTCCCGCCATTAATATCTCCTCCTTAGCATGGATGTAAGCTGTCAAGTGTTTACACACTTATAGACAAGGATTTCAGTGTTGGAGGAAAACTTGTCCCTTTTGCTGAGATGAGAGATAATTCTTTGTGGAAAACATGGAAACTGTTTGGTATTTTGAAGTTTTCACATATAAACACACTTATCATGATGAATTATACTCCTTAACACAGTACAGAGTGGTCATAAATGTTATCTGTGTTCATCAGTAATTGTCCTCCTGTCATTAAAGTGTACTGAAAATGTGCACAGATGCAATGTTGACATCTTCTCTGGTTTTATTCTCATTTCTGCATCTGTCTAGACACTGTAATTGGTGAAATGCACAATGCCATTTTAGAAAGTGGTCAAATGTAACATATGTTATGTTTGGGATTACACTTTCTTACTAAGAAAGTGTACGAAGAAAGTGTAATCCCAAATATGTTACTGTAATTAGTGCCGTAAGTGCAACTGAGATCTCGCCTGTACTTTCACTGGAGATCTCGTCTGTACAGTAACTTTCACTGGAGATCTGTACTTTCACTTGATGTCTTGTCTGTACTTTCACTGGAGATCTCGTCTGCACTTTCACTGTAGTGGTTCAATAAGCACGATAAGAAAATACATAGAGATTGAGATTAGCTGGATTGAGATTACCAGATGTTGCTTTTTACTGCTTCTTCAAAATTTACAAAGTGCAAATCATGTCTGTCAGTTGATGGCACCATGGCCAAAGCTAGAAAACAGTGCAAATGAGTGAGTGAGTGAGTGGGTGGGTTAACAACACCACTTAAGCAATATTCCATTATTGGCGGGGGACACCAGAAACAGGCTGGACGCATTGTACCCATATGGAGAATGGAACCCAGGTCTTTGGGGTGACATTAGGCTACCCCACCGCCCAGCTACAGTATTTAGTCAATACAATGTTCAAAAAGTCTTCAAGGGTTTTGTTCGCAGCTGTTTAGCATGTCATCTGTACAAGACTATGGTGATTAAATTGGAATAATGTTACAAGAATATTTTTGTGACTGTTTAAGTGATAAACCCTTGTTTGTTGATTATTTCAGTTCTGCTTCTGTTACCACAACCATCAAGCAGGTGGCCATCAAGAAATTAGCTCGTCCATTCCAAACGGAGACTCATGCTAAACGTGCCTACAGGGAAATACGGATGCTCAGGCACTTTCATCATGAAAATGTAAGTGTAACAATAAGCCTTTCTTTCATGTCATGATCACTTAGACCAGAATAACATTTCCAGGTTGTTTTTGCCATAAATCACGTTAACCTTGTATTTGTGAAAAGGTTCAGGTGTGTTTTCCATCATTTTTTTGCATTGGATTTTTTTATAGGATTTTATGTCAAGAGTTTTATCGGGATTTCAGCCTTCACATGTTTGTGACCTGCGCCCTTGTAAATTGACCATGGAAGTGTAGAGGAGAACAAATTCTTATCAACCTGACTGATGGATGATAGCTTTACAGGGACATTTATAATTCTGGGGCGACTGGGGAAAATATAATATAAAAATATTCAAGACATAAATTTACAATTTTATCTAAGGCATACTTATATAACATATGTTATATTTGGGATTACACTTTCTTTGTAAAGTACAGGGGTGGTGGGGTAGCCTAGTGGTTAAAGCGTTGGCTCGTCACGCCGGAGACCCGGGTTCGAATCCCCACATGGGTACAATGTGTCAAGCCCATTTCTGGTGTCCCCCGCCGTGATGTTGCTGGAATATTGCTAAAAGCGGCGTAAAACCAAACTCAGTCAGTTGTAAAGTACATATTCTACTACTTTTGTTGGGTTGAGTCCCATCCGGGATTCGAACCCACACACCTAATTGCCAGCACACAAAGTCGACGCCTAGACCGCTCAGCCACTGTGGTACCACGAATCCCGGATGGGACTCAACCCAACAAAAGTACTACAATCTGTACTTTACAAAGAAAGTGTAATCCCAAATATTAACATATATGTTACATTTGACCACTTTCTAAATGGCATTGTGTATTTCATAAGGCATACTTGTTTCCAGCAGTATAAAATACTTTTTTCAAATTTTCACAATAGATTGAAATAAACATAGAGCATGACCAGCAAATAATACTGGTAATTATGGTATGAACCAGAGGCAATGAATTCTTCTGTATATTCTGTGAAACATTCATCTTATAAAAACACTCTCTTCCCAGTCACCAAAACCCACCCCTTATAGAACAATGGTACAAGCATGTGAAAGCATCTTTCTTTCTGCCAAAAGTGTAAATAATTATTTAATTAATGTTTGCAGTATTATGAAAGTGATCTGGAATAACACAAAGAATTATTCAGTATGGTCAATTTGTAGTACATATAATTGGAGCACCAGGAATTAAAAAACTTTGGTCATGTGAATTAGCAGCCAAAACTATAGCATTAAAAATTAATGGAAAGAGACCATTGATTGGCCTGTTGGGACTTGGCGCTCATGTAATTTCCATGAAATCAAATGAACTTTGCGTGAACTACCAATAAAGCTATCCCTGTACATGGAATCAAGATGGCTGTTGTTCTCACCTGCTGAGGGAGTTCTCTCCTTGTTTCAGATAATATCTCTAGTGGATTTGTTCACTCCAGATCAGACGTATGACAAGTTTGGCGATGTGTAAGTAGAACAAATGCAACAGAGATTTATGAATATTTTTTTTTATAGCAAATACATATTTCATAGTGCCACAAGCCATGAAGATCCGGGTTAGAACTGGTTTTCAGCAAGCCATGCTTGTCGCAAGAGGCGACTAACGGGATTGGGTGGTCAGGCTCGCTGACTTGGTTGACACATGTGTGTCGTATCCCAATTGTGTAGATCGAGGCTCATACTGTTGATCACTGGATTGTCTGGTCCAGACTCAGTCATTTACAGGCCGCTGCCATATAGCTGGAATATTGCTGAATGCGGTGTTTAACAACAAACAACACATGTCAACCAAGTCAGCATGATTTAGCCTGACCAGCTGATTCTGTTAGTCACCTCTTATGAAAAGCATGGGTTTCTGAAGACCATTTCACATGACAAGTCATGTTGTCAAAACCAAACGGGAGTTGTCATACCAATAAATAGAAGTCTCCTCTCAGTTGGAAGTGTTCGTGTCCTAAGTGTAGACATAGCGAGTCAGGAGGTCAGGCCTAGTATCTTAGTTTACTGTATGTGAGTGAGTGAGTGAGTTCAGTTTTATGCCGCTTTTTAACAATATTCCAGCTATATCACGGCGGGGGACACCAGAAATGGGCTTCACACATTGTACCCATATGGGGAATCGAACCCGGGTCTTCGGCGTGATGAGCGAACGCTTTAACCACTATGCTACCCCGTCGCCCCAGTTTACTGTATGCTGCTTGATGACATTGATTGTTGCTCCTAATATCAATCACCAGAATGTCTGGTCCAGACTTCATGTATTAGCAGTCATTATCTAACTGGAATATTGCTGAGTTGGGGTTGCAAACATTTATACGAATATTTCATGACGAATTAACATCCATGTTGAATGTACTGGAGGGTACTGTTGTGTCTGCAGCTACTTGGTGTTGCCTTATATGGACACGGACCTGCACGAGATCCTCAAGCTGCAGTCTCTGTCTAACGACCACATACAGTTCATGCTGTACCAGATTCTCAGGGGACTTAAGGTGAGCTACTTTCAGTAATCTCAGTATGATGCAGTTATGTCCCTTAGTCATGTAAGGATCTACTGATCATAGATTTTAATTTTATGATTATGATCCATGCTTTAGGATTTCACTGATGTTGGACATGTCACTTTGGGCTCTGCTCCCTCGACCAGCTGACATGTTATCGGTTTGAAGTACTGTTCAAAGTGATAATGAACCAACATTCTCTATGTCACAACCCCCCCCCAAACATCATGTGCTTGGTAATTGCCATAATTAGCGCAACAGAAATAGCCAATTATCTATACCACCATAGCTTCTCACATTACTATTTTCATCTCTTGTAGTATGAACACTTCCCCGAGGTTTTGGTAGAGAATGTAAAACCTAGGGAGAGAATGTAAAACCTAGGGAGGAGGTTCCTCCTCCCTAGGTTTTACATTCTCTACCAAAACCTCGGGGAAGTGTTTTCCCTAACATATAAACTGTCAATGATGGATAATTATAATGTAGATGATCATTTAATGAAGCTACATAACAATAACTGAAGTGCAAGTAAAATCAATTAATGCCAGTAACTATAAATAGATAATTCAACCCCAACATCTTTGTTGGCTTGGTGGCCATGAGGTAGAGCATCTGCTTATTAACCTGATAGATGCAGTTCTAATCCTGTTTGGGAAAATATTTGCACTTTGAAATTGATCTTGGACACTATTTTTGAAATTGATTTCAAACACTCATATATCATTTGAATGTTGATGTTCATATAGAGTTAGGATTAATAAAACCTGGGAAGAGGTCTTACTTAAAAAAGTAAAACCTGGGAAGAGGTCTTACTTAAAAAAGTAAAACCTGGGAAGAGGTCTTACTTACAAAAAGTAAAACCTGGGAAGAGGTCTTACTTAAAAAAAGTAAAACCTGGGAAGAGGTCTTACTTACAAAAGTAAAACCTGGGAAGAGGTCTTACTTAAAAAAGTAAAACCTGGGAAGAGGTCTTACTTAAAAAAGTAAAACCTGGGAAGAGGTCTTACTTACTAAAAGTAAAACCTGGGAAGAGGTCTTACTTAAAAAAGTAAAACCTGGGAAGAGGTCTTACTTAAAAAAGTAAAACCTGGGAAGAGGTCTTACTTACTAAAAGTAAAACCTGGGAAGAGGTCTTACTTACAAAAAGTAAAACCTGGGAAGAGGTCTTACTTACAAAAAGTAAAACCTGGGAAGAGGTCTTACTTACAAAAAGTAAAACCTGGGAAGAGGTCTTACTTACAAAAGTAAAACCTGAGAGCAAACAAAAACCTCAAATGCGGTTATTCCAGGAAAAGAAGAGATGCTGATTATATAGTGAGAAGCACCCTTGAGGTTTATATTCACCAACTAAGCACAGAATTTCTCTCCTTTATCTGCTTGAAATCAACAACACGTGACTTCTGAAACTAATCAGTCAACTTTCAAATTTGTGTTATTTTAAAAATTTGAAATGAGCAATTGATACATTTCTAGATTAGCTAATTAAAGATTGTATTGGCAAGTAAAACGTTTTCCTGTGTAGTAAGAATAGAAGAAGGGGAAAATATTTATGGTAGACATTTCCAGGTGTATATCAGTTGAGGACTATTGGTATTGTCGTTCAGTCATAACAAACAAGGTAATAAGAGTGGTCAGGTATATATTGTAATATATATATATATATATATATATATATATATATATATATATATATATCTATATATATCTATATCTATATATATATATATATATATATCTATATATATATATATATTACATATTATGTAATCGAGGATAATTCATGAAGTAATGACATGTATCTTTCCCCAACTATTCTGTTTGTTTTCATCAGTATGTTTATTTTTGGGGTAACATTTTGGACTTTGTTTATATTTGCAGTACATTCACTCGGCTGGCATCATTCACAGAGTAAGTGTCCAGTTTGCTGATGATGGAGAACTTTCTACCTTCTCACAACCTCTTCTGAAAAGCATGTAGTCACAATACTTGAAATGACACATTTGTTTAAAATAGAGGCGGTGGGGTAGCTTAGTGGTTAAAGTGTTTGCTATTGGCTCTTTAAAGGATAGAATGATTATAAATCCATGTGCTTAGTATTCAGTACAATTTAGAACAAGGCTATTACTTTACTAAGAAAGTGTTATCCCAAATATAACATATGTTACAAGGCTATTACTACCTCAGGCGGCCATGATAGACTAAATCACACCTATGCTGTTTACAAAATATCTTGTTTTATATCAGTGATTTAATTAGAATGTAACATTCTTGTACAGTAGTTGTGTCCCCTTGTTCAATGTTACTTTTTTGTACGCAATTTACATGTTGATATTGCAGCAAGAAATTGTAATAGTCACTTTTTCTTTCAGGATCTTAAGCCCAACAACATAGGTGTAAATCAAAACTCAGACATTAAGGTGAGGTATGAATGTGACAGTTATGCCATGAATGTCATGGTCATGTAAAGACATTCAATATAATATTTGACATACCATTAGGCCAGACCAATTTTATTTCTTGTTTTATGGATTCGCCGGCTGTATTTTTTCAAGAATCAGAAAAAATATATAAATTAATTTTCCCCGCTCAAAAAATAAAATCCATATGTTTTTATTAGCCAAAAATGTAAACTTACAAGAAGTCCATAAAACAAGAAATAAAATTTGCTTTGGCCTTAACTATGGTAGATAAATATTTCAGTGAGCTTTTAATTATTAATTTTAACAAAATATTTTTGTTATATTGTTTTCAAATCAATGGTTAATTTTTGTGTTCTGTAGATTTTAGATTTTGGGTTAGCTCGGTCGAGTGCTGAGGAGATGACTGGGTATGTTGTGTGCCGCTGGTACCGAGCCCCCGAGATTATGCTCAACTGGATGCACTATAATCAGAAAGGTATTTACCGGAATACGTAGACATGAGTATGGCAGATATTGACAGACAAGCAAAAAGATATTTTGCCATTGCTATAAAGTAAAACTTGTTCTGCATTACAGGAAGAATGACAACATTAGACAGTTATTTCAGTATTTGTATCCCCCGTAGCGGGTTTTTAGAATGGACTCCATCCGGGTCCGTCCGTCCGTCGTCAAGTAACATTTGTCTTTTCCGGAGCAGAACTCTAAAAGCATTCAATATTTCTTCACCAAATTTGGCACATACATAGATCTGGTGGTGTACTGGTGCCTTTTGGTAGTTTTGGAATTCTGAATAAAATATTTTTGGCGTTTCCATGGCAACAAGTTTGACTTAGACTGAAATTGGTGGTAGTGCTCTTTTCCGGAGCAGAACTCTAAAAGCATTCAATATTTCTTCACCAAACTTGGCACATACATTGATCTGGTGGTGTACTGGTGCCTTTTGGTAGTTTTGGAATTCTGAATAAAATATTTTTGGCGTTTCCATGGCAACAAGTTTGACTTAGACTGAAATTGGTGGTTGTGTTCTCTTCCGGAGCAGAACTCTAAAACCGTTCACTATTTCTTCACCAAACTTGGCACATAGATTGGTCTGGTGGTGTACTGGTGCCTTTTGGTAGTTTTGGAATTCTTAATAAAATATTTTTGGCGTTTCCATGGCAACAAGTTTGACTGAGACTGAAATTGGTGATAGTGCTCCTTTCAATGCTCTCCTTCCACTTTTCTATGTACACACCTAAATATTTGACATAATCATAACTCTAGACATAATCATGAAGAGTATTTTGCCATTGCGGGGGATATTGATGACTTTGTCTTCTTGTTATATTTGTTAGCAGCTAGACCTTGTGTAGAAATACTAAATAATAATACTAAACCCTCGAGTTGTCCCCACTCCGAACTTGTATGTTGGCATTTATTGCAATATATATTTGTCTTAGTGTAAGCAGACTTTATCTATGGAAGATATTTATGAATATTTCTTTCTCAATATCTAAGATCACCTTGTGTTGATTTGAGGTTAGAATAGGTTCACAGTAACCCATGCATATTTTAAGTGGCCAAAAAATGGTGGTCAGACCCAATGATTTGGTTGATCATGTATTGTCAGTGGTCCAGACTTATTATGAGGCCATATATAAATATTTACAAGCTGCCGTCATTTAGCTGGAATATTGCTGAGTGCTGTTATGATCAACAGTGACAATACATCTGAATTCACTGAAGTGATATGACTAATTATTTAGCCTGCTACACATACTAACCTCTTCTTTATGCGTTTTCTTTAAGAAGTATTTTTTCTGACATTGCTCAGCATTATGTAAGTGCCTGTGGCCACTACAATGGTTTTGCTTCTTCTGTTGACAGTGGACATCTGGTCTGTTGGGTGCATCCTGGCTGAAATGATCACAGGAAAACCCCTGTTTAAGGGCTCAGACCGTATCCTTGTATCTGTGGTATGTCCTTGTGACCAGGGCAGTGCATTAATAGGGTTAGTTTGCAACTTACAGCCATACAAACAGATCTGAAAAGTTCACAAGCAGATGGGCATGCTAAATAGGTCACAAGCAGACGGGCAGGTTAAATAGGTCACAAGCAGACAAGCAGGTTAAACAGGTCACAAGCAATTAAACAGGTACACTATAAGTACACTGGGCAGGTCACAAGCAGACAAGTAGCTATATATGCTCTACCCTGGTGACAAGCAGAAGGGCACAAGATATATGTACTCCTCAGGTCACAAGCAGAAAGGCAAAAGATACACACATGCTTTATGTTTACATGTGAAGTTCCAAGCTGACAGGCACACTAGGGGAACTATTCATATGGTCAGAAGCAGTCAGAGTCACTATTAATGAACTATTCTTGAGGCCACAAGCAGACAAACCCATTATTAATGAATTATTAAAAAGTCACAATCAGACAAGCATTGTGTGAATGAAGTCACCAGTATTACAATCGCACACAAGAGAATTGCAATTCAGTTTCCATCACTGATTGTACAGACGTATTGTTATCTCCTTGACTGTTACATCAGATATTGACCAGTTGAACAGGATACTGCAGCTGACCGGGACACCCAGTGAAGAGTTCATTGAGAAGATGGTCAGTGGGGATGTAAGTAATCATGACGTCTAGGAAGTCCCCTGCTTAGTCTGCCATGCATGTTGAAAGAGCAGGTGTTGGTTAAAGTGGTTGAGAAAGACTAGAGAAGAGATTGTTGCATTGCATCAAAAACCGAAATCCTTTTCTTCTTGCATCCATGATTCACTTCCAGTTGGTATTTTAAATGCTTTTATTTGATATAACGAGGATGACAATCATCTTTCATTGATACATCAGAGGTATGTTCAAGAAAGCAACAACAAATGAACACAGTCGAGAAAATACATAAAAATACGACCTTGAACTTGTCTCTGATAAGTGAAAAGCCTTTCTGCTGTTTTAGTGCTGGGATTATTAACCATGGAACAAACATTTCATATGATTTTATCTTTTGTTTGTGTGTTGCTAATGCTGCACTCTGCTGTATTCCAGCTACATGATGGCAGCATGTAAATAATCAAGTCTGGAACAGACAATCCCGTTACTGATATGATGAAGATCCGGGGTAGAATAGGTCTTCAACAACCCATGCTTGCCACAAAAGGCAACTATGCTTGTCGTAAGAAGCGACTAAAGGGATCGGGTGGTCAGGCTCGCTGGCTTGGTTGACACATGTCATCGGTTTCCAACTGCGCAGATCAATGCTCATGCTGTTGATCACTGGATTGTCTGGTCCAGACTCGATTATTTACAGACCGCCACCATATAGCTGGAATATTGCTGAGTGTGGCGTAAAACTAAACTCACTCACTCACTATGATGGGCAATGTTTCATGTTGGTGTACAGTGACATGCTATCATCGCACTCAATGACCCCGCCGACCCAAACCATTTAGTTGCCTTGTTTTCCTTTCTTATGACAATATTTATCTTTTTCTTTCTCAAGGCAAGAAGATTCATACGGTCACAACCAAAGTCAAAGAGGAAGAATTTTTCAGAATATTTCCACAAAGCTGATCCTCAAGGTAAATACGTTGCTTCAGTTCATACAATGTTGCTCACAGTTATTGCATTGAAGATACACTACTTCATAAAACTGTGTAAACTCATCAACTGATAGTCAATTTGTCTCCGAATGTTTTTCAGCTGTTGCCCTTCTTGAAAAGATGCTTGACCTTGACCCAGATTCCCGTATAACCATAGAGCAGGCGCTCGCACACCCCTACCTCCGTCAGTTTTACGACCCTGAGGATGAACCATCCTCCCCTCACTTTGACAGTTCATTTGAAGATCTGAAACATGACTGTGAAGGATGGAGAAGTAAGTGGATTTTTTCCTTCCATGCTTCAGCACAGCAGAACTTTGAATAGAGATAGAGGGTAAATTGTTGTCTATAATATCTTTGAAAACTTTGGAATGTGACATAATTGTTTCTAAAGAGAGTATATTTTAACTCACCTTATCCAAGGCTTCATGTGAGTGCATTTCATCGTGCCAAATGTTAACGTCTGTGGAACCACAAGGATTCTGATCAGGAATGTTTCTGGGGATGATCCTGCACTGTTCAGCGTTGGCTTGTTTGTGACCAGTAATGGAGATTAAACCGTTTCTTCTGCCTTTAAGTAAATTAAACTAGAAGTAAATGAAATGTTTGAAGGGCATTTAGAAGTGAAATGCATAAGAAAAGCAAGATTTATGGATGTCAACTTCTTTATTGTGAATAACACTGAATTCACAATGAAGAAGTTAACATCCATAAATCTTGCTTTTCTTAGAAGTACAAGGATTCTGCAGCTGATCAGGAATGTTTCTGTTCAGTGTTGGCTTATTTGTGACCAGTAATTGAGATTAAACAGTTTCTTTCTGCCTTTAGGTAAATTAAACTAGAAGTAAATAGCTTTATTTGAGTGTTCTTAATCTCCAACATTAAAGTTTATATGATGTCCACCCAAAGTCCATTGATTTATGTCCATGCTTGGTATGACATGGTTACTCTGTCTAACATATGTGTTTCAGTTTCTTTCAGATTTTAGTTTTGTATCTTGGTATTTATTGTTTTCCAGGGTGTGTATATGAGGAGATCTGCAAGTTTGGTCACTGAAGTCAAACATATCAGGGGTTTCTGTCTGTTGACATCATACATCAATCAACTGGTGCTCTCTCTACACACTTGGTCATACCACAGCAGATGTCAGGTCACACTGGATACATGGACCCAGTGAAGGAGTGACCTCCATTGTGGTCAGTGATGTAAATACATACTACAGGAAGGTCAGTACATGACACAACAGACTCAAAGACATTAAGTAGTAGCAGCTAAAACATACTACACAGATGTCACTGCAGAAAGGTCATGCCTTCGTAAAGGTCACTGCTGCAAGGTCAAACCACAGTGGAGGTCATTGCAGTAAGGTCAACAACAGTTGAGGTCACTGCTGCAAGGTCAAACCTCAGTGGAGGTCACTGCTGCAAGGTCAAACCACAGAGGAGGTCATTGCAGTAAGGTGAACAACAGTGGAGGTCACTGCTGCAAGGTCAAACCTCAGTGGAGGTCACTGCTGCAAGATCAAACCACAGTGGAGGTCATTGCAGTAAGGTGAATGACAGTGGAGGTCACTGCTGCAAGGTCAAACCACACAGGAGGTCATTGCAGTAAGGTGAACAACAGTGGAGGTCACTGCTGCAAGGTCAAACCACAGTGGAGATCACTGCGGTAAAGCTGAAACCACAGTGGAGGTCATTGCAGCAAGGTCAAACCATGGTGCAGGTGACTGCAGCAAGATCATGTCATATTGCAGTGGAGGTCAACAGTGATTTTGCCAAGAGTACATATTGTTGATAAGCATGGAAATATATGTTATCATAGTTAACAAGCTCTTGACACACGTGATGTTTTTGGAAGGATTGAATCCAGATACACATGAATTAGTTACCAAAGATGGCAGAAAGTAAAGGCTCTTAGATCTTCAGCATAAATGTGTCTTTGGATTCATTTAATCTATTACCTGAGACTACAAAAAACCTTGTTTTTCCAAACAGTCTACTTCCATTTGAACCTCCCAGTTGACATTACAATGAAGCTGTTGGTTGGCCAACTTGGTGTATACAATATTTTATAATATAAATATGATTATAATATTGCAGTATCAGCATTATCTATTTCAGTCAATGAAATACATACATCAGTTCAATTTCCCCTAGAAGAAAAGGTAAACTTTTGAAAGATCAAACGTGCATAAATTATTTAAGCATAACTTACTTACGAGCATTACAACAACTGCTGGCACAATGTTTGATATGTAAAATAAGCGAGTCTGTGATTATGGTAGAATTATCAGGATCTGGGCGAACAGATCAAGCTAAAGCAACCCGTTTTAGCCCATATAGTGCATTATTCGATATGTATACGGTCACACAAACAAGTTGTCAGTATAAAAGATCTATGAGGTATATCTCAGTGAATCATGTATAATCAAACATGGACAGAGACTTCACTCCTTGTGAAAAACTATCCTGCACATTCAGTTCAGTGCTCACAAAATTGCATCTGCTTGTTTAGCTAAATATAAAGAAAGTCCTAAATGACCCCTTCTTTGTACATAGGGACCTACCCGTGAAGGTCCGGGTTAGAATTGATCTTCAGTAATCCATGCTTGTTGTAAGAGACGACTAACGGGATCAGGTGGTCAGGCTCGCTGACTGGTTTGACACATGTCATCGGTTGCCAATTGCGCAGATAGATGCTCATGCTGTTGATCACTGGTCCAGACTCGATAATTTACAGACCGCCGCCATATAGCTGGCATATTGCTGAGTGCAGCGTAAAACTGAACTCACTCATTCACATAGGGACCTGCTGCATGTTCAAGGAGACCTGTAACAATGAGACTTTGTGGATCACAGGACCCCATGAACACACCACTAGTACTCCTGCATTATTATCTTTACTGCATTTGGAAATTCAAACAAAATTACTTTCTGCTGAAATCACTATTGATGTTACAGAATATGTGGATGAGATAAAAAAGGATATTTTTAGTGTTAACCTTGTCCAATGTTATGATTCATTCAAGTTTATTGTCAATGTTTACTTGTATCATGTCCACTTCTTGTCCATGTCATGTGTTCAAACCGCTAACAGCAGCAATCATCCAGCCATCCAATCAGCTTCCTATAACAACAGCAGCAATCATCCAGCCATCCAATCAGCTTCCTGCACTGAGACAATATAATCAAAGTGATGGCACACTGCGAGTGTCCGCACATCCCTGGCAAGGGAAGTAACTCTTGTGTATCAAGAATCATTTCAACAAAAGATTTCTCTCATACCTTTATTACATTCATAAACCATACAATACATTCATGAAAACAGCCATTAAAAAACATGATCTTGAACGGTTTAACCAATCAGACAACGACTACTTGTTAGGGTTCGACAGGACTTACAAAACGTTTTTTTGGATTTTCTCTTCCCTGGTCGCTGACACTGATCTATCAACAAACGAAAATCCGCAATAAACACAGATATTTGACCTGGTTACTATTTCCACGAGACGACATCCTTGAATATTGACAATAATGCTGTTTTCAGCGACTGTTTACTCATTGCTTCCTCCATGTGTATCACTCGGAAGCGGTATGTGCGAATGTTAACTTTTGCAATTTGGTAAGCTGTGTTCTGATTGGTCGGTCCAAAAGGTTAGCTGACGTGACCTTCTACTAGGGTTTGTTAGACTCAGTATAGCAGTGTAACGAATAATACTGAGCCTAAGTTTACTTCGACTGATATACATGTGACGCATCATGAATATTTTACATCCCTATCCTGCAAGCTTGTAATGATGTTATGTCATGGAAGTTTTGTTACATGACAGTATGTAGAAAATGATTATTTTTTCTGATTTGTCTATGAAAGGTGTACTTAGCGATATTATGACAATTTTAGATAATTGTTATTAGGAAATGAACATTACCTCCAAACTTAAGTTGGAATATGAATGTTAAGAGTACATTTTGTTGAACCGATGTTATTAATGCATGGGTTCAGTGGTTATCATGCATAACATGTGCATTCATTGGCATCATAATGCATCAGCTATGTAAGTTTGTCCAGTCATCATATGGATCATGCATCTTTTGTAAATGCATTCTCAGTCATTGTTCATTGTATAGATATCTTCAGTCATTATTACAGTATGAATTATGATCATGCATCGTGTATGTGTTTTCAGGCGTTATTAAGATCATGCATTATATATGCATGTCCAGTCATTTTTAGAATCATGCATTACATATGTTCAGTCATTAAGATCATGCATTAGATATGTGTGTTCAGTCTGTTTTAGGATCATTCATTACATATGTAGGTTTGGTCATGAGGATAATGCATATTCAATGATAATAATAATGCATTATTATATTTATTATGTATATATATAGACACACACACATCATGCATATGTTCAATGTTAATCATGTATGTATTAGTACAAGGATATTCATGCATGATGCATATTATATGTGACATGTTAAAAGTCAATTGGAGGCCAAAGAAAATTACCACCTTATGAGAATACTTTTTGCATATATATTTGATTATTTTTTCTATCAGCGTCATAGTTATTTTTTAGGCATAAACTACCAGTCTTTTCAATATCATCAATTATCGTCCGTAATAAAACACATTGTAGATATTTGGGACACGGAAGAGTCTTGCTTTCAGTTGAAACACATTAATAACGGTGGATGCTCACTGCAAAACAATACTCAGTGGTATGACTTAGAAAACATGATTTCACGTCACTCTGTTGAGCTTTTGTAATACTGCCCTGCTAGTTGTTTAACCTGCATTTATTGTTGAGCTTTTGTGTGTGCACAGTTTGCTATCTCTACACTCTTTTATACTTTTTACACAAGATTTTAGTTTTGTAGAATTTGTTTAATTTTAGAAATATTTAATTTTTCTTCACATGTTTGTGTTCAGAAATGATCATTTGTGTCCTAGCATGAGTCCTGATTAGTTACCGTTCAAGTGCGTGACTGATGTCATTCCTTATTGTACATAATAAACTGTTTGCTAGAAATCAGAGCCAGATGCATTAACTCATTGTATTCATGGATGTAAGTAATGTTTTTTTAGATGTACAAGCTAAGAGAACTCTATGTTGTTACTTCAAAATTATCCAGTAAAATGTGTGGCTAGTATCTCCCAAACAAACAAACATTGTTGTGAGTGAAGATTTGTCTTTAACATGGTCATATATTGGGTGGTACCACTGTGCAATGGCCTCCTTACTTATCATCACTGACTGGGGTCTGTGCATACAATAAAATTATGCCTATATATTGTCAAATGGAAAAGTGAACTGCATTTAGTATTTCATATCAGAGTATGTTTTTGAAGCAAAAGTTATCAATATGAAAACATGTTATTTTCGTTTTAATGCTGTGTTTAAAGTTATTTCTAATATATGTGTATATATATATATATATATATAACTGTTATGCTTTCAGGCACGGTTATGTAAATATTCCAAAAACCTGGGTAATTTTAAGCTATCATATAACAGAGAATACAGTTAGTTTAAATGTTTTGGACATAATATTGGCACCGGTATATATATATGGGAGTTTTGATGGATCAGACAACCATACAGCACATACAACAACCAGTCCATTCTGTACACCATAGTGGCTCAGAGACTCGTGTGAAGTGTCGTAGTATTTAACCAGTGTCTTAGCACCTTAACATCTTTTATAAAATGTTTTGCTGACAGTGTTTCGTGTTTTAGAGATATTTCTGTATGTAAGATTGCCCTATTCCAAGAGCTGCCTCTCATCTTGTCCATCATCCAGCCTTCCCAGAATACCTCAGTCCATCACATGCTCTCTTGCCATGCATGATTCCAAGCAGACCCATGATGAAGGAGACCTTGTGGGAGATTGGTAAACATAGGTCATTGATAAAGGGCTAAAAAGTGGATTGGGTGTCCAAAATGGCTACTTATTATGGATTACAACAGAAAAGGGAACAATAGAGAGACCATTTGAGATAACTCAAGACACTGTGTGGTCTACTTATTTTGCTTAAGAACTGAACATCTGTATAATGATTAAGGAATGAAGGATGATATGTATGATTAGGGGATTGGATGGTTAAAATGGGGATTGGATGGTTAATGTTAAAAATCAGGTAACAGACATCATAGAATGATCAAATAACTGATTAAATGTGCCATTAATTCCATACAATCATGATTATTCATATTTAATTTCACAGCTGATGTTTTGTCTGCCCAGGTGTAATTTTGTACATAAGGCCTTCATGACACCTAGGGCAAGCTTAGTGGAACATAGTTCACTCTTTGTCCCTTGAGATTCTAGATGGCTGTTATTTGCTAGATGGTAGCATCATGTTTGGATGAAGGGAAACTGGAACTATGATGAGCATGGCAACCTTACTATGGTGCTTGACAAACCAGGGCCCCGTTCCTCAAGGTGATATCAGTACAATGGTGACTGTAACTGCCATACTCTAGCACAGGCTTACGACAGTTCTGGCATTTAAATTGCTTTGTGGAACAGGACTCAGAACTACCAACACTGTGAATACTTGGTGCTTATGAACAACACACTGTAGCTATCTCTGTGACACACTGACCAATCTGTGACACTGTGACGCTCTTCTGACACTCTGTGACACACTGGCCAATCTGTTACACTATGACGCTCTTCTGACACTCTGTGACACACTGGCCAATCTGTTACACTATGACGCTCTTCTGACACTCTGTGACACACTTGCCAATCTGTTACACTATGATGCTCTTCTGACACTCTGTGACACGCTGGCCAATCTGTTACACTATGACGCTCTTCTGACGCTCTGTGACACACTGGCCAATCTGTTACACTATGACGCTCTTCTGACACTCTGTGACACACTGACCAATCTGTTACACTATGACGCTCTTCTGACGCTCTGTGACACACTGGACAATCTGTGACTCTGTCACCTTCTTTGAAACACTGGACAATCAATGACTCTGTGTCACTCTTCTGACTCCGTGTCTGTTGACTCTGGCCAATCTGTGACTCTATCACCGTCTTTGACACACTGAACAATCCGTGACTGTCAC